GATGATCAGTGTTGAGTCGACAATCGACCGGCCTACAGTGGGTGCCAGCAAGAACTCTGGAAAACACACACCTGTACACTTTCAAATCTGTGCATTCGGGTAATTACGCGAAAAAGGAATCTATACCAGTTTCCGCACTGATGCTGGCTGCAATATGGAAATGAACCTCCGGCAAATTCTCTGCTGTAGATATCAGCGCATCAAACGAGGATGTGGCACAAAATGATCGAACACTATCATGAGCTTTCGAAAACTTAGACTGTTTTCCCGCACTGCAAAAAAAAACAAATTCTCCACAGGTCATTCATGAACACAATCACCAACCAAGTACAGATCAAATATAGTTAAATTTTATGTGAGTAAACTTAATATATCTTAATAAAATTGAATTCACTACAGATGAAATCCACCGAAAAAGTTCAGTAGGAATGTACCAGTCGGAAAGGTCGGGGTAACTATAAACTAACAATTAAGATGGTGTTATGGATCGCCAGACTGATCTCTATCCTTAAGAAATATCGATCTATGAGAAGGCTTTGACGACAGACCCACATAAAAATTTTAAAGATCTCAAACGAAATTTATTTCCAATGGGTGTAAGTCTTGAACGGAACATAAGACTCCACTCAAACCTGGTCTAAGAAAACTGGACTTCTGCATATAAATCATGTAAATATATACGTATGAACGCAGGTATATGCAGAATCAAGCCTTGAAAGACCTTCGTGACGAAGAGCTTTACATCCTTATAACCAATCTAAATATCTTTTGAAATCTTTTGCTTGCTCCACGTTCCGTTTTGCCTGTAAACGATATGATGCCTAGTAGGTATACGTCGTTTCCTGGACTGAAGTGAATCCCGGTAACATTTTTTGCACTCCACGCTTCAACGGACCATGACCCTGCATCACGTTACTCGCAATCGGTTATTCATCGGACCTACTCCAACGGAGCACCGTCGGTGATCAGTTCCACCGTTTTCTTCCAAGCTATAAGACAGCGGGAGTAGTAGCAACAACTGTTTGAACACTGTGTCCTGACCTGCTTTAGCATTCTATATATGTACGTATGTATATCATCTCTTCCTTCATCATAGCATGTTCTCCTTAATAGATATGGGCAAATCGAGTCAACCTCCCAAAAAGTTTTGTCTTAAGTTAAATCTTCGGCGACTCCTCACAGTATCAGATCGTTCTTGACCACCCTTTCTTTGGTCGTCCCCATCTTTTCTTACCTGGCAATATCAGTGCTCCGTCCGGTCAACTTTCAACGCTCCCGACGAGTCTTCTTTTCACGTGATTGAACCAAAGGAGTCTGCGTACGATAAGGTTTTCTGAAATTGGAGCTACCCATAGAGTGCTCCAATGGAGCTGTTTCGGATGTGGTCCTTTCAGCTGACACCACATATTCATCTGAGCAATCGAATTTCTATCGAGTTCAGCTGTTGCCCTTGTCTCTTCAAGGTAGCCAAACATTCCGCTCCGTACAGAAACACCGACCTTACTATGAATTAGAACATCTTCCCCTTGAGTTTGATGGGCATCTTCTTGACACACAGCATTCCACTCAATTCTTTCGGTTTGAGCCAAGCTTCCTTCGACAGATTTCTTATTTCGCTGTCGATTTCAGTATTACCTTGCAGGACGGAACCAAGGTAGCTGAATTCTTTCGCCTGAGGCAACCAGCTCGGCAACCTTCAGAGGTTCGACGGCTTTCACTCTGTTCTTCTCACTTAAATGACCCTCCTGTATTCTGACTTGCATTTGCTGAGTTGAATGCCGTTATTCTCAAGGGCTGTTCTCCATTCATCGGTTTTCACCACCTCTAGAGATTCCATACTTTAGCTGCACAGCGCAGTGACATCTGCATATAGCATGCAATACGGGACTGCTTTCTCCAGATCCTCAGTTATCGCGCCTGTCGTCATTGAGAACAAAATTGGGTTCAGTGCGGATTCTTGGCGGACTCCTACCCGCAGAGGAAACTCATCCTTTTCGCCGCATGTACTTCGAACTATCATCGATATCGTACCTATTCATAACATATGTAACTGGCACCAGCTTCCTTCTCATGTTCCACCTGATTGCCTGCCTCTTTTGCTTGCTTTCTCTCTATGTTTCGATATCTGATCTTAAAGCAAAGATGGCATCTACGGTTGAGCGGCCTGGCACAACGCCGAACTGGTTCGCGGTGATGTTGACCACTTTCCATTGTCTTTTGTCCAGCACCCTCTCGTACAGCTTCATGGTGTGACTAGGTAGTTTAATTCCGCGGTAGATTTCATAGGCGAGCATGTCCTCTTCGATTTTGCACATTGGCATCAAAATACTATGCTTCCATTATACTCGCATTTTCTCACATTCCATAATTTTCTTGAATAACCCGCATAGTCAAACAACTCCTTCTTGCCACAGTGCATTCAGTGCTTCTGCGGAAACTCCGTCCGGGCCAAGGGCTTTTTTTATTCTGCTCAAGGCTTTATTCTGTTCCACTTACTATTGTGAGAATTTTTCTACACGACCCTGGTTTCCTAGGATCTTTTTCGATGGCCTCTCTAGGATCTTCTTGGCTTGGTAGCATTTGGAAGTTCTTCGCCACTGTTTGCGTAAATTTTCTGGTTGGTCAACACCATTCCGCTATCGTCTTTTATGCATTTATCTTTACCGACGTCCCCTTTTCTACATTCTCTGGCTTTTTCTATGCATAGATGACTTTCCCCCGTTCCTTCGTTTCCAGCGTTTCGCATAAACTCTTGCAAGCTGTAGACCTTGCTTCGGTGACGATATTCTTTGCATTTCTCCTTGATACGGCAGATATTACATATTTTACTCTGTCTTCCATGCAGTTTGATAGCTATCATTTTTTTTGAACAACTGTTTCTTTTGTCTTACGGTCGCCTGCACATCTGCAGTTCACCACCACATTTCCACCAGATCTCTGCATTCCCTATGATTATGCTAGCCATCCGCTACTATACTTCGTCCACTTTTCTGTTGATGTCTTTCATCGT